ACCAAAGAGTGCAAGCTGCTGTATGTTGTGGCCTCGTTCATCCCACCACATGCTCTAGTTGGATGTTGCAATGGGACAATCTTACTGATTCCCAGGAACAGGCTGGCAGCAAACAGCTCAGCTATTGCTGGGCTGAAGCTCGCAGTGGGGAGCGCACGTGGGCCCGTCGTGGCAATGCCCAGATCTGCCCCGTTTGTGTTTGATGTGGCCAAGTGAGGAACTGACACTGCAGAACACTGCTGGTGCCTGTGGTGTCTATTGTGTCCCTGGGGTGTCTCACCTGCAGGAGGGAAGGGCAGGGCAGTGCGGGGCAGCTGCCCCATGTCCTTGCAGCCCCTCACCTGACTGTTTTCCTTCCAGATCCTCCTTGGACCCAACACAGGGCTCTCGGGAGGAATGCCAGGGGCCCTGCCTCCGCTGTCTGGAAAAATCTAATTTGCTGGAGCTGCGCTGGATTAGTATCATGTGGGAAGACCTTCAGATGATGATGTATTGAACTGTTGATTTGTTGGGTCAGGGCATTTTTTGTTTGTTTTTATTTTCGGTTCTCCTTTGGGACATTGACCTGTTCATAATGTGGGGGGGAAGCGCCCCCTCTGGACCTGATGATGGCTCCTGTCTGCATCCTCCACCTTGTAGAAGTTGTGAGTCTTTCCTTTTATTCAATCAGCCCGCCATAACCACTTGCAAAGACTTGAACTGGGGGAGCTCCTCTTCCAGACCTTGCCCCCCACAAAACCACCCTGGGGCACAGGTCAGGCTTTGAAAGGCAGCAACCAAACAAAAAAAAATCCCTTCCTGGCTGACTCGGAGCCAAAGGACACTGGTGACAGGAGGAGTGACTTTCCTAGCAGGTGAAGCAAAAGAAGGAGGGGTGCGAGTAGCCACACCCCACGGAAAACACTCTCTGGGAAGACGCGTGTGCAAAAACACCTTCACTGCAACTTCATGTGTGCGTGTGAGAACCGAGGGAGCAGCAGGCCAGGTTCAAGACGATCACGTCTGCGCTGATCCTCTGCCTCATAAAGTAGAACTTCAGATATCAGCTGCGTATTTTTTTGTATTGATATTAAATAAATGCAACCTGAGCAGTGTGGTTTTACTAGATGTCCTTCAGGGAGGCTCAGTTCTTTCAGAGCTGTCGGTGGCTTTGTGGGTAGGGGCCCTTCTGATTCTTGCAGGGCCTGGCAAAGGGGGGAAGGGACAGACAGGGCTTTGTCACCTTCAGGTGGCTGAGAAAGGTTTGCATGGCTTAAGGGAATTCTCAGGTGATCCTACCTCAGCAAGAGTGACCGGCCTTCAAGGTTCTTAACTCCCAGAAAGGCTGCAGTTTTATAACCAAAGAAAAAAAAAATTTATTTTTCCTTTACATACATTGTTACAGAACAATTCAGCTGAACATACAGAAGTGATAGGACATTTATATGGAAACATTTTTTTTTCTCCATTTTTAATATTTGGTTAAACAAAATACATCTCTGTAAACAAACCCAAGACAAGGCTCTAACAAAACCAAACAAGCAGGAAAAACAAACGTGGGCTTCAGCACTCCCAAGCAGTGGGTCCGGACCTGCTTGCCCACCACCTTGGGCACAGCAGCCTCACCTCACTTCCCACGGGGGTGTGACCGTACACCTCCCTTTACCTGAGCAGCTGGACCATACTGTTCCCCCACCCCAGGAAAGGTGCTGACATACAAGGAGAGGAAAATAACTCCAAAAATATTTTAAAACATCTTTGCATATTGTGCACTGATCCATTGGCTTGCAGTTTCCATGCAAACAGGGTTTCTCCAAAGTGCGACTTTAATCAGCACAGAAAACGCTGCTGTTGAGATTTATCCCCCCCATCCCCCTTGAAGAAATGGCTTCAAGTCACCAGCAGAACGCCTGCAGGCTGCGCATCCTGCCTGTGAAGTATTTAAAAACTCTGCCAGCTGGTATTATTGGTCATTGGAATGTGTCACAAAATAGGACTTTCTATACAAAGGTTGGGTCTTTAAAACCTAAGAGCCGTTTTCCCTTGACTGTGGGAGGCTGTGCTCAAAATGGTGCTTGCCAGATGTCCAGGGGCCAGTGAACAGCATCGTCCGGTAGTCACGGGTCTCTCTTCTCTGTTAGGAAGGTGCGATTCTGGTGGTCTCTCAGCTTCGAGCAGCTGCTCAGCTTTTGCAGAGCTCTCAAGAGAAAAACAACTGAGAAAAGGTAGTTAAACCCCGCTCCTTTCGCAAGCTCAGACACCAGTAACGAGACTTCCTTGCACAATGGAGCGGGATCCTTCAAGCTCCATCATGTCCCAGAGATTGCTGTTGAACTGAAGACATCCCATGTACAAAGGAGGGAAGCAGACTGCAGCTCAGCCAGGAAGAGCTAAGCACGGTCTGTTCCAAATTCAGCATTTCTTCCTCCTGCTGTGGAAGGCATGACTGAGCTACAGCTCGCCCAGGTGACCAGAAAACAGCTGGTGGAGATTGCTCTTAGCATCTCCATATCTAGTCACTCTTCCCCACGGAAAGGAGGGGAGGAAAAAGTGATTCATCCATTAACGGAATGTTTGCTGCCCAACACTAGAAGAGAGGTTTGTTCAACTACCAGGCCAAGGTCTCTCTCAACACCCAAAGGTTCTAGTGGACCCTCTGCATCTCCCACATTATCAGCTAGTAACTATAAAAAGGGCAAAAACTGACTATTATTAAGGTTTCCCTCCTCGGCTGATTATTTTCTTTGTAACTTTACCTCTTCCTGGGACATTTCGCCTGACATTGCAACTGTGGGCTAGACTCCTGGAAAGAGGAAAATAAAAGGGTATTAATTCCTCTCAAAACCCCTTCGGTTTTATTCCTCTCTCCAAGCAGCCCCTAAAGTACTGGGTGACCATGCAGAAAACCAAACTAGATGTTAAAAAAGACAAAAAGCCCAAAAGCTGGTGGAAAAGCCCAAAGAAACCCAAGCAGACTACAGCCTCTCTCCAGTCCAGAAACTCGACGCTCCTCCATTAGCCTGCGCTTCCTGTTTCCACATCGCTTGAGCCAGCCGCATCCTGCCGAACAACCCCTCACCACATGCCTAAGCCCCTGGAGACACTGGGGAAGAATCCTCTAGCTGCCCGAAGAATTTCTTGAAAGATGACACTGTTTTTATTATTGTTTTCTAATTCCTGGCACAAACCATCCCTAAGAAGCAGAGGGTCACGCTGAGCACCGTACCATTCCTAGTGTTTTGAGAGTGTCCTGAGAGACCCTTAGGAATTGCAAACGTCTTCCCGACGACTTGTTTTGGAGGGAGAGACTTGAGAAGAGGCGGCAGTGTACTTGGCCCCTGCTCCTCCCTGGCAAGCCCCAGAGGGAGCAGCGTCCCACCACATGCGGCCTTGGACAATACAGGTCAAAGGGAAAGCCAGAGGCTTCCAGGCACCCGAGCCCCACAGCCCGGTTTTAGAGCTCGTGAGCCTTCCAGCTAGCCGAAGGGCACGCAGCTCGTCCACGTTTGCAACTGAAGTGATTGGCTTCCAGTTTCCTCCACTCTGCCCTCGATTCTTCCCCACCCACCACCCCCAATGTCCTACGCCGTTGTCCTATTGCACCAAGGAAGGAAGAGAAGAGCCTAACAAAGGAAGTTCCAGACAAGAAGTCAGGGCACCCATTATCCAGGTTTCAGGACATCAGGAGTTCAGTAAAGGGGAAGAGCTGTAGTGGGAGGACAGAGTCAGTCCGGGTCACACATCAGCTCTCCAGCTCTGATGTGCTTCCACCTCCTCTGGCACCACCAGCAGGAGTTCACAGTTCTTTCCTCTCAGCTGGTGTTTCAAAAATTTCCTATCATAAAGAGAAAGAGAAGTAAGTGCTACTGAATGTAGAACTTCATTGTCTTCTGCAACAACTAAACGCAACTAACAGTGCAAACACGGCAAGAAATAGGAAGAAATCCCCACACACTGTCTTATTTGCTGACAATAAACTCCCCCCCAAAGTTAAACTTGCCCCACTAGATTCAACACACCTCTACACAGCAAGTTATTGCAGATTCAGATAGACATGATCTTAACCTCAGCAGAGATAAGTCTATATAGATGTCACTTTCCAATTTTCCAAGATGGCAAAAATAGAACTAAAACCAAGTTCAGCTTCTTCAGATCTCCAAGATCAAGAATCCCACTGTATTTTAAAGTAATTCCAACAAACCTGGAATACTTGTGGGGAAAAAAAAAAAAACACACCATCATTTAGATGTCCTTATCACAGGTAGAAGCAGCAGCACACCACCTGGTCATCTGACACAGTTCTGCAGCCCCTTTCTGCCCACAAGCTTTTTCTAATACTAAACTTGGATTATCTCCAATAAATATGGCAGGCAAATCAATGTTTTCTCTGATACCTTTTGGCCCAGATTTTCAGAATTCCCTAAATAGGAAGCCCTTATTTGTTGCTGAATAGCAGCACATCCAGGATAAAATCCAGGAGAAGCTCTACATGGCAGTTCCAGAACTGCGTTACCTTATCCCAGAAGTTCACAAAAGGCTGACGTTCGCTTTACCAAGACTTAATGGCACGGTGGGCTCTGCAAGTACTGCTCATGTGCGATCCCTACCTCGGAACACGGCTAGTCAAGACAGTGAAGTTGCCAGTAGGCTTTAGAACAGGATGGAACGGGAGCTGAACAGCAACTAAGAGCAGGTGAGACACTAAGTGAGAGCCAAAGTAACAACACCAACCATCTCGTGTCAAGATTACAGAGGGGAGGAGAGTCAGGCCAGAAGTGCAGCGTACGCTTACATAGGCAAGTGATTCCTAACAAGCAGGTTTCACTGCTGTCAGGGACATGGCTGTACTTTTAGCCTGGAAAGCCTTTTGTTGGGAACATACACATAGATCACTACTGAAGAGGCAAAGGAATGCTGATACTCTCACGTGTGAGGAGAGAGCAAGGCACAGCACATCTCACTGCAGTGTCTCCCACTAATACCAGACTTGGCCTCTGCCTTCACGACTAGTGACAGAGCCAGCCATGTAAGGGACGAAGCCAGGCAGAGATCTCCACTGCTGACAGCGTTCTCCTAGCTTTATGCAAACAGCATATAAATCTAAGCAAAGGCAGAAGAACCTTATTACTCTCAAATCTTTGCCATTGAAGGTCAGCCATAAATCGCTAACTGTTTAAGGACAGATTCCCCACCTCCAACAAGGAAGGATTTGAGGAGGAACAGAATAAAAAAAATCCTACCTGAGCTCACTTTCACCTCCAATCCACTCGGGCACCTTGAGTTTGGAGTCGAGGTTGTAGTAGGTGCCTCCCACCTCCCGGACGCATATCCAGTGCTGTCGCTTGAGGGGAAGCTTCAAGGGGCCCCAGCAAAGGCTGGAGGGCAGATTCATGATGAAGCCCATCACGTTAGACAGGGCAATGACGTTAACATCCCTGAAAGAGTGCAGAAAACAGCAATAAGATTATATGCTGGTAATTTCTCTCTCTCTCGTTTCTACAAACAGCAGCCATCTCCAGAATTACACGGCTTCTCAGTACCTGCGCTTGTCCCACCAAACCGCCTCATAGCCTTTGGTCTGCAGTGCTGCCATGATCACGTTCACATCATAGTTTCCATTTCCCAACATGCTCTTCTTGTGGGGTGTCACCATGGTGTTGGGGGACAGCCTGCAAACAGAACAGGAGACTGCTCTAGCAGGCGGTTGCTGAACCTATATTCCACAGCTGGAAGGGGCTAGTTGCTGTGAACTTGAAGCCCATTTTCAGGGTTTTTGTGTTTAAACACAAACTATTCCATTCCCCCTTACCACTCAACAGAGAGGCCGAGAGGGCTAAATCATGCATGAAGAATAACTTTGATGTACAAAGCCTCCCAGATTCTAGCTTTGCCATGAAAGAGACTGCAAAGCAGGAAACCTTTTTTCCTCCCCTTGAACTGGTACTTCTGAAGGATGCTTCAATTATTTTTTCCTCAATTCATGGCTGGAGTAAATGCCAGTTTACCATTTAGAACAACAGCTATCACGATTTCAAGAGTTCAACAGTCAACATCAGTCTTGAAAATTGGCTGAGATAACAAGAGGCGGGAAACCAGAAAAGGTTGCTCTCCTCCACTCCTCACTGGTAAATGAAAGAAGTATTTGGACGAAAATCTGTGAAGATATTTGGATTTGGAAGCTTTCTGAAGCATTGCCATTGCTATAAGATAAAAAAAAAATCTGGTGCTGTAGGTAACTAAACTGCTAACCTTGTTGCAAACAAATCTCTTCAGCTTTAATCCATGAGTGCCTATACATCACTTGCATCATTATAGCATCTAGAAATCCAGAATCACAGTCCGTCACGTTATATGCAAAAATGTAAGACAGCCTTTGCACAAATGGAGATAATGGATGCAAGGCATAAAACATGGAGACACACAGCAAAAAAAAAGTTAGCAACTTTTATTGCTTTGTGTTTCCCCCTCCCCCCTCCCAAAATTTTGTAAGGATAGGGAAAAAACAAGGAGGTGAATTATTATGAAGGTGACAGACAGGCTTCAACAGCTGGACGAGCAAGCACAGGGGGAACCCAGGAGCACACAACACCAGGAGCACACAACACCAAACCAAAGAAAGTCAAGCCTGGGATCAATTCTGTTGTGATGAGTTGCTCTTTTGACTGGTAAGAACTCCAGTAGCTCTGCTGGCACAAGGTTCAGATGTTTTGTATCATCCAAATATTCACATTTCACCTGCCTCTCCCTCATGTCAACTCCATCCCTCAAAACTCTTGATGTTCCCGCACATTTTTCACTCAGCCTTTAGCACAGTGCATGTTCTGCAGGCATGTTTTGTCCAGCGAAAATCCCTCAGCCCTTCTGCATTCCTCGCGTGACAACACAAAGCATTGGACAAGCAGAAGGAAGCAGTGGATTAAGTAGGGAGTCTCAGATCAAGGCTAGAGAGGCTACAGACAGGTCGCTTTTTGCATCAGCTGTGAGTTCTCTTGCAGTGGAGCAGACTGCAGCAGAACAGCCTAGCAAGTAACTTAACTACAGAAAGGAGAAGAGTCCAAAACAACGTGGTAAGAGGAAGAGCTGTTAATACCGGCCACTGGGCGTTTCTGAGCGAAGCAGTAACGTCTTCACAGAATCATGGTTTCCAGTCTCCAAAGCTCTGCTGTGTTTTAGTAATCAGAGAGATACAACTGTAGCTTGTCACAGTTCTTCCAGCATCTCCACAAAGCAAGATCACTTGCCTACAACTAATTCCTCAAGATCATTGCTTCAACCTATTAACTCTCACGAGCACCAGAGAGCTAGGAAAGCCTTCCAACTAACAGAGCCCTTTGGGTTGCACAAGCACCCTCTTGTGGCATTGTTTTCCAGAGACAGGCTTATCTGAGAGCTGAAAGAACACATTTATCTTTGTTCTTTCCTGTAACTTTCAGAGCCCCAGAAATGAGATGAAGAGACCAGCAGAGGTGACACACTCAAAGAACTGATAACCACGAGCAAACTTTCACCAAGAATCGCCTCAACGTCTCTACTCACACGCACCTAAATTGGGTCCACAATCATCAGCTGAAGCATTCTGATTAGACAAAGAATTAAGTTGCCTCTCCAAAGTTATTTTTTTTTTATTTAGACCCTAAGCTGAGGAAGACTGATGAAGTTGGACAGAAATCCAGATAATAATCCTCCTGAGCTTTCTAACGCAGAAACTTTCATCAACATGTTGTCTTAACACAACGGGCTCCAAGATTCCCGTACGCAGTTGTCTTTCCTAATCAGGTCTCAAATACATAGGCTCCAGTGAAGTGATTTTGCTTGTATCTCCATGCAACATTTGAAACATGCAATCTTCCTTCCTGCAACTAAAGCCAGAGGAACATCAAAAAGTTATTTCTTGTATTAGAGGAAAGAAGAGAGGAAGGACTACAAAATCAGAGGGGAGCTCGGACCAAGTTTTGGCATACACTTGAGATGATAATCATCAGACTACACTGGCCTTATGCAACGGAATGCAGCAGAAGGGAAACTAAAAATTAAGCAATGTGGTTCAATCATTCTTCAAGGGACGTGGTAAAAGCTACAGAAAGCTTAAGACTATTTGATTTCGTTACCTTGTCAACACTGAGTTGTTTTTGTTTTTGTTTTTTTTAAATAAATCACACCTCACAACATTTATGTAGCTTATTAAAAATATTCATCAGTCCTTTACCAGAGTCATAAACACAGAATATGACTAGACACAGGAAAGATATATGGAAAAGTGATGTATAAAGGGCAACTAAATCCACACCTCTTAAAGGCAAGTCAAAGAGCTAGACATGAGTAACAAACCAACAGAGATGCAAAGGTAGTGGCAATTTTTATGTACGGCTTATAGCTCGTCCATTTCTGACAGGAATTTCCACATATATTTCCATACTTCCACGGGGCTGAATCAATCTGCATATCATCTGAATACTAGGATGGAACAATACCAGGTTGCAATCAAAGACAAGTTCTGCCTTCTAGGGCAAGAGGTCTGACAGGATTAACATCCCAGCTCTTTCTGAGAGGTTTCATGCTGCACACTAATTCTCTCTCACCAAACCCAATGAAAGCCAAGTAATTAGATCATCACACTTCTTCTACCACATGAACTGCCTTTGTTTGCTTCAGGCCAATAGCAATCCATCTGTGATTAAGATTCTGACAATTGGTGCTCTGGAACAAAACCATAGCATCTCTACACTGGACAAAGAGTGCCTTGAGCCTGCCGTGGACCAGCTCCACTTCGTCAACAGGAATTTTATTTACAATGCTATTGTAAATAGCATTTCAATCCACTATTTGCTGTTGACCATCACCACATTTCTTTCACCAAAGATAGGCACGTGCTTGATGAGTCAAGCACCAGTTCCATAAATCTACTGATTTTCAGGACAGCAGCAACAGGCACACAGCTCCCTGCTCATCAGCACAGGGTACCACCCCTGCCTTGTCCAACAGCACCTGCATAACTGCTGTTACGAAGCATGATTTCCCACCTGCCACAAACACGCAATGCCATCGACTGCTGGTAACAGGTATTCAAGCACAACTTATGCAATGAGTACAACATCCACAGACTAGTATCAGAGGAGACCCCATTTTCTATTTGATTACTTCGCTTCATCAATGAAAGGTCATCACATTTTGAAAGGCAAGCTCAGAATTTCCACAAAACGCTGCAACAGCTTAAAGTAAACGTTTAGCAAAATATGAGCTATCGTAAAGGCCACATTAATAATTTACATTTATCCCAGTAAACCTCAAAACCACTTTTATTAATTATTTGAAGCTGCTGAGAAACATTTAGCAATGCCGCAGAAATGGGGATCCAGCTACTGAAATTAAATCCAGTTTGACACAGTATACAGTGTCTCACTGCATGGAAAAAAACCCACAACGTTTGAAGAACTTCACTTAATCGCTTGAGTAAGGAGTCACTCATTTTGCTAAGCTCCTAATTTCCAAAAAAAAATTAGAAGTTTTGCAGTACTAAATAAAGAAGTTTTTACGATGACCCATTTGTCATTCCTGCCACCTTCACTCTCCCAAGCCAATGCCAGAATCCGTTATTAACACCAAGATAAGATATCTACATGAAGCAGGGGCAAAAATATGGAAGACGAGTATAAGATGCATTACGGTGGGTGGGGAGAAGACAGCAGTCCAACCACATGACAGCATCTGCAATAAAGGTCTTAGACCCAAAACTGGCAGCCAGAATAGTTTAAGAAACACGTAAAAAGAGAGAGAATTTCTGCATGGAGAGAGGAGAAAAAAAAAAGGGGGGGGATAGGAATTTAAAAAAGAAGCTACATTCAGTTCAAAACAGTGGCATACAGTGAAACCCTCCTTTGCACCATTTTTCCTCTCAAATAAGATCTGAGAATTCCTCCGAGCTACAGAGGACAAGGGGAAGCTAATATCAGCACAGAGAGTATCCTACCTCTGAAAAATCTCCTGCAGGGTTTCCCTAGTGAAGGCGTTGCTGTCCTGGAAGACATTGTTGAGGGCATGGAGGGCACACAGCTCCCTACGCTGCTTCTCATGGTAAATATGCAGTGGCGGTAGCTGGGGTGGCTCTGATGATTCCGATTTGGTCTTGTCACCTTTCCATGGCACGCAACTCATTTTCTCGCAGGGTGGATGCAAAGTAGGTGGTGAGAAACAAAGGAGGCTGAAGTTTCTTCCTCCACAGTCACAACAGCAGCCCACTGCCCCTTTCTTTTGTAGGCTAGCGCTGCTTCTAGCTCACAAACCCTCCTCTTGTGCTTCAGTTTATTCAGTAATTGCCTCTGATGGCTGGTTTTAAAAACCACATAAAAATCTGCAACATATTTTTCCTCTCTCCTCCCATATCCCATAAAACATAATACTTCCCTTCCTCCCCCCACAGAAGGAAAAAAAAAAAAAGTCAAAAGATATGAATCCCCTTAGTCTCAAGGTGCCAGCTGGAATTTATCACATCGCTCATTTTCTTCCATCTCCTTTGATCTATAGTGCCACTTAAAAAGGTACCCTGAGCAGGTAACAAAGTGAGGCCCACCCCCAAAGTGGAGAAGATGAAGCCAGCTTCTGGTGCTGCCTATGGGAGCACTGGGTGGTTCAGGACTTATCAGCTGCACTCCTCCATTCCTTTGGGAATGACTGAATCCAGGCGAGAAGATGCCAGCCGCTCAGGAAAGGAAACCGCTTCTTGCTAGGCCACAAAAAAACCCAAGTCCAGGCTCCGATGAAGGCAATTCCTCGCAAGTCACCCTGCGCTCCGACAAAGGGAAGTCTTCATTAGCAATGAGGCGAGGCAGCACAAAGCCCGTGAGAGCGAGGGGAGGGCAAGCGGCAGGCAGGACCAGCCCCACGGCCTGCCTCGCACCTT